CCCATCCTCTCCTCTCGCACTCCCCTTTCCCCGTCTTTCCCTTCCCTCCCCCTCCCTTCCCCGCCTCTCCCTTCCCCTACCCCTTCCCCCTCCCTCTCTTCCTTCCTCTCCCCATTTCCCTTTCTTTCCTCCCCTTTCCCCTTCCCTTCCCTCCCCCCTCCCTTCCTGCCTCCCCTCCTCCTCTCCTTCTCACCCCATTTCCCTTCCTTCCTCCTTCCCCTTTCCCCCTTCCCTTCCCTCCCCCTCCTCCCTTCCCCTGCCTCCCCTTCCCCCTCCTCTCCCTTCCTCACCCCATTTCCCTTCCTTTCCTCCTCTCCCTTTTCCCCTTTCCTTCCCTCCCCCCCTCCTTCCCCCTCTCCCCTTCCCCTTCCCCCTGCCTCTCCCTTCCTCACCCCATTTCCTTCCTTTCTCTCTCCCCTTTCCCTTCCCTCCCCCTCCCCCTCCCTTCCCCTGCCTCTCCCTTCCCCTTCCCCCTCCTCTTCCCTTCCTCACCCCTTCCCTTCCTTCTCCTCTCCCCTTTCCCCATCCCTTCCCTCCCCCTCCCTTATCCCTCCCTTCTCCCCTCCCTTCCTCCTCTCTCCCTTCCTCACCCCATTCCCCTTCCCTCCCCCCCTCCCCCCTGCCTCTCCCCTTCCCCTTCCGCTACAGTCCAAATGCGGCAATTACTGAGGTTCACTCACCCTGTTGCATTCACCCGGCCAACAAGCCACCACGTTGCATCATAGCACACATATATATTACACGCAAATACAGCCATGCGCATACACTATCGGGCTGGGTGTGGTGGTGTGTGTGTGTGTTTATGTTGAACGTTTTTTTGGGGGGGATTTTTTTGTATGTATGTTGGTTTTTTTATGATAGGTGTATGTATTGTGTATGTTTGTATGATATACGCATAGATACTCGCACACAAACACACGCATTATTAACTTTCACACACACACACACACACACAACACACACAACACACACACACACACACACACACACACACACACACACACACCACACACACACACACACACACACACACACAAACACACAAACAAACAAACAAACAAACAAACAAAACCGACACAACCTCCCGCGTGAGTGTATTTGTGTGTCCAATTGCCAGTTAATTCATAACAAGTACAAATAAACATCACTAAGGTCAAAAAAAAAAAAAAAAAAAAAAAAAACGGAGACACCAAACCGCACACATGCTACCTACAGATTCCTTGCACTCTGTTGTTGCACGTTGGCGACAAGCAACTTCTTCGTTGTTGTTGTTGTTTCTTTGTTCGTTGTGTGTGCGTTGTTGCAGAATCGCTTTTCATCAATTCATACGCGTGAGGAGAGAGAACTTCAGAGGTCATTCTGAAGTTCAGTGACCTTTTGATGGTAATTTTTATCCCAGTTTTTGCATATCTGTCATGGGTTCTCATGGCGGCTCTGGATCGACGTGCGTGCGTGTGAGGTGCGTGTGTGTGTGTGTGTGTGTGTGTGTGTGTGTGTGTGTGTGTGTGTGTGTGTGTGTGTGTGTGTGTGTTGTGGTGTGTTGTGTGTGTGTGTGTGTGTTTGTCAGGCATCCGTATTTGGTTAATCAGTCAATGAGAAAATTATCTTGTCTGACTCGCTTTTTCTGACTCTCCTTCTCTCTCCTTCTCTCTCTCTCTCTCTCTCTCTCTCTCTCTCTCTCTCTCTCTCTCTCTCTCTCTCTCTCTCTCTCTCTCTCTCTCTCTTCTCTCCTCCTCTCTCTCTTATTTATCTATCTATCTCATTTTCTTTTTTCTCCTTTCTCTCCCTTTCTCCTCTTTCCAAGTATACTCTTCTCGTTTTTTTTACAAGACCATTTTCCCATCGCTGTTATCGCTTTCCCTCCTAATTTATCTTACTCCTCCTCTTCCTTTTCTTTCCTTGTCTCCTTAATGTGACTTTTTCTGTGATTCTATACTTTCTCCTCCCCTTCCTCCTTTTGCATTTCCTTTTCTTTTCTTCTTCGTCAGCTTCTCTTCCTCTTCCTCCCACCTTCTTTCCAGTTCTTCTCCTCTTCTTCCGTTTTTATTATTTTCTTCTCTCCCTCTTCCTCTTCCTCCTGCTCCGCCTCCTATTCATCTTCCTCCTCCTCCTCCTCCACTTCTTGCTTGCTGCTGCTCCCCCTCCTCACTTACTCTTCCTTCTTCTCCTCCTCCTCCTCTTCCTCCTTCCCCACTTCCTCCTCCACCTCCTCCTCCTTCCCCTCCTCTTCTTCCTTCCCCTTTTCCCTCCTCCTTCCCACTTCCTCTATTCCTCCTCCCTCCCTCTCCCCCTCCTCCTCTTCCCCTCCTCCTCTTCTCCTTCCCCTCCTCTCCTCCTCCTCTTTCTCTCCCGTCTTCTCCCTCCTCCAAAAAAACTCTACCATCCTTCTCATCTTTATTTTCTCAAGCTCACCTCTTCCTCCTCCTTCCCCTCTTCCTCCTTCTTCCCCTCTCCCCTTTCCTCTATAAGCAACGATAGTATGACACCAGCTGAGACCCTCGACTCTGAAGTGGCCTCCCCTCGTCACTTCTCCCCCCCCCTCTTCCCCCCTCTTCTCTCCCCCCTCCCCTACGCCCCAGCTGTGACCTCCAATTCCTCCCCTCTCCCCTCCCCTTCCCCTTCACATCTCCCCTCTCTTCCCTCCCCTTCCCCTTCTCTCCCCTCCCCCACGTCCCAACTGTGACCTCCTCCTCCTCCCCTCTCCCATTCCCCCTCTCCTACGCCCAGCTGTGGCCTCCCCCTCCTCCCCTCTCCCCTCCCCTCTTCCTTTCCCCTCTCCCTCCCTCTCCCCTTTACCCTTCCCCTCTTTCACCTCCCCTCCCCCCCTCCCTCCCTCCTCCCCTCCCCCTCTTTCCTTTCCTCCTCTTTCTTTTCCCCTCCCCTTCCCCCCTTCCCCCCGACGCCCCAGCTGGTTCACGAAGCCCTAAGTTCGTGTCTGAGATGAAGCTGAAACTCACACTCGGGAGAATATTTCTGAAGTACTGAAAGGTGTTCTTGTTAGCCTTCAAGATGGGCGTGATGATGATGATGTGAATGATGAAATGATTACGATTGGTGGTTGATGAGATGATGATAATGATACGAATGATGAGATGATTTACGATGTGGTGATGATGTGATTGAGATGATGATAATGATTACGATTGGTGGTGATGGATGATTGAGATGATGGATAATGGATAGATTGATGTGATGATGATGAGATGATTGATAATGATTACGATTGGTGGTGATGATGATGATTAAGATGATGATAATGATTACGATTGGTGGTGATGATGATGATTGAGATGATGATAATGATTACGATTGGTGATGATGATGATGATGATGATAATGATTACGAATGATGATGGTGAATGATTAGATGATGATAATTGAT